AAAAGGTCATCTGAGCACAAAACATTCCTATAGCCAATAGAGTAAATTATCTTTTATGCACTACTCATTTTCATTACCTTTTGCAGAGCCATTTGTATTCATAGGGTATTTTCTTTTATAGCTATTCTGCTAGTGATTTTTGTGAGTGAACCTCTTATGCGTTTGTTGCTTTCCTTATTTCTGTCCCACCAAAACAATATGGCAGGGATATCAAACTATGGCTGGAAGCGGAGGTTCTCATCTTTCAGGGGGGCAAAAGCAGCGTATTGCAATCGCTAGGGCTCTAGTCCGTCATCCATCTATTCTGCTACTGGATGAGGCAACTTCTGCACTGGATGCCGAAAGCGAGCGTCTTGTTCAATCCGCTCTTGATTCAGCCGCATGTGATACAAAAGGTGTCCATAGGACCTGTCTTGTAGTAGCACATAGGCTCTCAACTGTCCAGACGGCCGATACTGTGGTTGTGATTCAGCGGGGCCAGAAGATGGAGAGTGGTTCTCCTAAGACTCTGCTTGAAGCGAAAGGTGCTTATTATGCATTGTATCATGCTTCTAAAATTTCTGAGCCATAATTTTTTCTCAATTCAGCCAATGAATATTCTGAGTATACTAATATTCCACCCATCTTCCTTCGATATATGCAATACTAATAATTTTGTCTATGCTCTTTTGTACCATATTCTCCCACCTTACATGTCATAAGAAGAGAGGGAAGCAATGTTAACCAGACGCTTAATAGCTATTTAAATACCGGTTACCGTGTCTTGCATTATTTATAAAAAAGGTTTAAAAAATATAGTAGTTTAGTGAAACTCTTCTGGGCTTATTTACACTCGACACTTTATTTAGTAGGTCTCATCTGAACCCCATCGGGATTCGATACCTGGTCGTGAGTCTCGTGGCGACATTACCCCTCCACTATACAGCCACGGGCGCCAGTTATTCATAGAGTAGATGTGACATTCAGAGCAAACCATGTACTTTTCAACTCAAATTTTTCTGATGGAATTGTCGATTAAGCATAGCCAAATTTTTTAGTCAAAAAAATTCGTAGAAATAATTGGTTAAAGGGAGTGAATAAGTCATCAAGACATTTTAGCCCCATAATAAGGACTATATTCTAACTTACAGTGTTTGTCTGGGCCTGCAGATGATTGTGAATTTATTCTAATTTTGTGCTTAATGACCGGATTAAATGAGATATTTGTTAACGGCACGCTCCATAGGACAACTCTTCTCTGACTGCGGCCATTTGGGTAAGTATTCCTTAGAGTGAGTAGCATGGTTAAAGTTATATGTGTAATGTTGGAGTATTGGATGAGATAGCAGACAAACCACTTCTAAATCTTCGGCTAAACGGATTCGTTGTTACAGCCTAATCTAAACGAGATTTGTATTTTAGCAAGTGAGATGCCCTCCTTTATATCCTCAAACTAGACACACTTCTAGATAAATTCTTTATTATAACCATAGTTCAACCTGACTTGTCTAGTTAACTTCTAAGCTTGTCCTTTATGCAGATTTTTCGAACACGCTATATCAATGCTCAAACCACTCATTTATATATTCTTAGGAGGAGACTTAGGTTCAAGACACAATTTTATAACCAATGTATTTCTGAACTTTCAAATTTATCTAATAGTGCACGCCATTGATTCACTTTAAAAATTGAAATATGATGATACCAATAACGAAAAGGTTTTCTTAGATATGATTCCTATCGATACATAAATATCTGCGCATTGTATTTTTTAAACAGCCTGGTTACTTTCACCTTGATCCCCATATGCCTATTGTGCCTTATCAAAAGCCTTCTCATTGATCAAAAATTCGAATGGCACCTATTAAAAAAAGTTTGTTTTTTCCCAAGGAAATAAATTATTTTCATGTAAAGGACTAGTTATCTTCTTGCGTGCCTTTTGCGATACGATATTTGTGACTATTGTAAACATTATGAATGATCAGTTGATGCTACTTTTATCGTTAGGTAAAATGGCGACCTCTAATAATTTATTTGAGACATTTACTTCATTCCATTCTAACTGGTCCTTCATCTGCAAGTATGAGAAATTGTAGCATGACCTTTTGATGACTTAAGTCTGGTTGCCTAATCAAGAGTTAAATGCTTATTGGGTCGATTTCGCTTAGAAAATATCTCCGAAATATGAGATTCCTCTCATTACCATACAAAGAAACCGGTTAAAGCATCGAGTGGGCGTTGAGTATAACTACCCAAAGGACACGCTTAGATTGCAATTCATTAACCTTACGTCTTGTTGAATAATAGCTAAGGGGTATAATTTATCAAAAATATGTCCAACCTGTGTCTGCTAAGCGACTCAGTTGCTCATTATATAAACAAATCTTAGTTAAATTAGTTTGCAAAAAAGATTTTACTTTAAATCAACAGAGTCGAATATTTGGAAGTTGCTTGCCTATACTCTTCACCATTCCAAATAACTGGATGAGACAGTTTCTGCACTGGATGCCGAAAGGGAGCCGTTAAAGCCGCCCTGACTTTAGTTGTGGGGCTTAGTTAGAGAAAGCTTGTCACTCATCTCAGAGAACACAGACGAGGAATATTCTATTTACGGATAGCACCCACAACAAGGCTCTCATTGTATCTGACTCAAGCATAAAATGAAAATGGATTTTAAATCACCGGCAGGCCCGGACACGCCATGAGGGCCCGTAATTTTATTATCTCAAAGATTTACGCTTTCCATTTCACATCTCCAGACAGGCATACACACTTACATTTGCTCACATATTTGTGCCAAATTTTGTACTTTTCTATTTCTGCATCTTCATTGTTCTACTCAATTATCCACTCAAACGCAAGATATAACATATTTTTTGTTTACTTTAATTACTTTGTACGGTCGGACACTGCTCATTCAACATTCTGCTATATCCATTGTTTCAGATGACGTAATTTGCCCTTGTTAAACTCCGTAATTTTTATTGATGTTAGCTTTGCTTACAAAACCCAAATCTTTTCATTGAAATAGTACATTTTAATTTTTCGATATTTAGGCAATCATTTTTCCAAGCACATGATTTTTCTAACAGAAAGTAACTTAGATTATACGAAGAAACTGCAGGTTTCAAAGAATCTACTGAGATAAGATTGTTGTGAAACGAAACGCAAGATAGGACAGGCTATTGAAATTGATAGATTAGGGAATGCGTTGAATGTAGGGAATGGTGATAGCAAGTTGATTAAGAATTACTTATGCTTGATTAAAAGAGATAGATAATGCTGAGCCGCCGTCCAAAAAGACTCAACTTGTCAGTTGAGTAGTGGCTTTAACCAACTTTCCACTCGCTCAGCAGGCCTGCCAAATTCATTAACCAAAACAGACGTATAAGTCAGCGCAATCCCAGCCGTGCTTCTCTTTGGGTCATTAAATCTTAATAATCTATGCTAACGGGTTCGGACTGACAGTTCAATAACCTGACCTTAATCCACAGGCTTACATTTCATCAATTCATATAGGGTTACTTACTGGCCAACAAAATCTCGATCATGCTTTTTTCCTTGGATCATCAAAACTTGACGACATGGGGCTAATATAATGCTATTTTTTTATTACTCCGAGTTATGGCTGATTTTGCGTTTAGACGTTAATGCACACACAAACTCGAGCATAAGTGAAATAACCAAACCTTTTTACATCCATCTGTATCTAAATTTTTCTCGCAACGAGGAAATAGCCGATTAGTTTTCTTGGCATAGCTTTTTTGCAAGAGTGAGTCCCAATTCCGAGGATGTTCACCATATGAATAACGTAGGCTAAGCCCGCCTTCACCCAAAACGAGGGATATCTTGCGGACCGCATCAATCTGAACGCCGTATTAAGGCCAAATAACTGGATTAAAAAGGGAATCTTCTGGTGGTATTGACATACAAAAATCTTCATCATGTACATCCATAGAAAATGAATGTCTTCACAATAACTAAGGCTATTTTCAATATTAATAATTATTATGATGTTTAATTGAGGGCTTGAGCTTAGGCGTTGTAAATCTTCTTGCACATGTGAATAATCGAGACCATGGTTGTAGTCAATTGCTTATAGAAATATAGTGACGCCCATCTCTTTTGTCTGCTAAAAATGAGTTTCAAGGATCTCTTATCTTAAGGCCCTCGATTACATCAATATGAAATTTGCGCATTTATGAAATTACTGGTCTTGTTTTTATTTCTGCTTTGAATATTGGTTCATCTGTTGCTTACTTAGCCCACAAAGTCATGCCTTTTTAGATCATAGTCCCAGCTCTTTATGTAAGTTGGCATTGAGATCCATTAGAATGTTTCAAGTTAAACTCTCGAGCCTTGCAAATCCTTTCTCTAGTGTATCCAACTGATTAACATGCATGGTGTTCTGATCCAAGTGACCCTATCTTTCTTATTTGTCCTGTACTTACATACCTTCAAACGAGTTCTCGAATAGCTTGGCTTTATCACCATCTTGGTGTTCTACTCTTTCTTTAGGTCAACTCTTATACTTGGTTAGCTCCAAACTCATCTCATTTTCATGTTTTCTATGATGTCTATCATAAACGTTTTTGCTCTTTAATATTCCATCAGACTCTCCTTGTTCGATTTAATAAGTATTTAGAAGAATTATATTCCCCTTTTCGTCCGAATCCATATGATCTCATAGTTAATTACCGCTTTACGCCGCAAGCCCACTGGTCTGTTGGATGCTGATATGTTATTAGTAACTAAAAAGTGCCTGATCGAAGTCAGTCTTAGGGGTTATAATTTAGGGTAACATGCCTCGATTCAGGCCATAGGAATTACAAGAACCTCATGAGAGTCCAGATGCATGCTACAACGCCCAATAGAAAGACAAGCAGTGAGATTACGGGTATGCTGATCTTGCTCAATCTTAGTTTTTTCATCAGACCACAGGTCAAAATGAAACACTAGTAACTCATTGGGACGCACTTCCTGGAGGTCTTATAATGGTATCTGAAGTTAATTTACCTTGGATTTTTACTCAGCATTCATATGGGTGGGGCATACAAATTCGGACAGTAGAACGGGATGGAGGTCGATGTGGCTGTACAGTCCATTACGAATGAGATAAAATGACTTGAAACTAATAAGTCTTACGCTAATTTTTTTTTCAACTTGGTCATATTGGCATAAAGAGCTAGAGAAACGCACCTTGTCCGCCATCCATAGTATACATGATAATTTTCAGGGTCGGACCATGGACTTGGTACATTCCCAGACGTTCCGCCGGCATCATCAGTAAGTATTGCCATTCTTACCACCACACTATAACTCGTCAAAGAGACAAGTCACTCTTTGGCGAGTTGTAGTATGAGGCCAAGAAGAGAAGGACTCACTGACGATGCCGAAGAAACGTCTGGGAATGTACCAAGTCCATGGTCAGAATCTGTAAGGTATCATACATACTACGGACTCCAGAACAAAATCAGATACTAAGTAGATCAAAAATT